TGTACTTGTCTAGTTTTCTCAATCAGATTGCAAGTTCTCTTAAAGTCAGGGACCCTCCATACCTTATATTTTATGCCAAACCCCCACCAAACTGGACACATTTATTTATTTATTAAATATTTAATTGGCTGCATCAGGTCTTAGTTGCATCACTTGGGATCTTTCCTTGCAGAACATGGGGACTATCCAGTTGTGGCCTATAGGCTCTGAGGCACGTGGGCTCAGCAGCTGCAGCACATGGGCTCAGTTGTTCCAGCGTATGTGGGATCTTAGTTCCCCAACCAAATTCATACTTGCATCTCTAGACTGGCAGGTGGATTCTTAACCAGTGGACTACCGAGGAAGTCACCACATTTATTTTTTGACTGTTACTCAGCCTTTACTTAGTGAAAATTCCATCTGAAGTGTTAACAAATAATACACTTGGGATGAGAGTTTATGTCAAGCATCAGTGTTTAAATGCTATGAGTAAAAATGAATGCTGATTCATCCACCATAGTTATATATATGCAGGCAGGAAGAACTACCACTACCACTCTCACTGTGGTCAGCAGAGAATTTTTTTTTCTGATTACCCACCAAGATTGTTAGTATCTTTTTAAGGTGATAATAATAGTAAAAAAAATAATGCAGATATCAAATCTGTAGAAAATCTACAAAGTAAGCAGTCAGTTCTTCAGTAACTGAGCACTCTCACTCTTCATATAAAAGCACATGTGAAAATCAGTCAAAATAATTATTAATGAAATAATATTTAATTAGATCATTTTGAAATTTTGCTTTTGCCACCGATGAATTGTTATTAATACCACTCTAAATAGAAATAACAGAAGTTAAAATGATCTCTTTATCTGCTTTAATATTCTGGTAGGATACAGGAAGAGAGTACAGTACAATTTCATTCACTGCCTCCACAACAAATATGTCCTCAATCAACGGTAAATATATTCCAAGTTTGTTTCTAGTGTTGAGGATGCTGCTGAAGGGAAGACAGAGATGCCTTGCTCTCATGGCATATTCCCTTCATATATAAATACTCCATATTTATATATGGAAGCTCCATGTAGGTAAATAGTGTAGCATATTTATAATATGTGAGGAATTATGAGCTCATCAAATCATTGGTTGAGTATCTCATATATTCCAGACATTTTCCTTGGGGCTTATGTTACACAATGAACAAAACAGACAAATTCCTTTCTTCCATGAAGCTTATATTTGGGGTAGGGGGGCAGTCAAATAGGTAAACAAATATAAACCAGGTGGTAGCTGCTCTGAAGAAAAATAAAGCAGTAAGATGGATTAGATAATGATGCTAATAATAATGAGGGAGCTCTTATTTACGTAGGGTGGTCAGGGAAGGCATCTCTAATGAGATGTGCTATTGATACAGACCCTTGATGAAGTGAGGGAACTAGTTATCCAGCAGACTGTTCAGGGGAACTGTTCCAGGTTGAGGGAAAATTGCAAGTGCAGATGCTTCTATGTATGAGTGGGCTTGGTGTGTTTGAGTGAAACTAACAGAGCCAGGAGAAAGTGTTAGGAAGTGGGGCTAAAAGGGATGAGCAGGGTCAGATCAAAGATGGCAGTGCAGACTATAATAGAGTCACTGTGTTGTACTTGGAAGTGGAAAGCCAGAGGAAGATTCTGAGCAGAGGAGAGACATGACCACATCTATATCATCAAATGATTGCTCTGACTGCTACTGAGACAACAGACTTTGGGAAGGCAGGGCAGAAGCAGGGAGAAGAGTAAGGAGGCTACTGCAGTCTTTCAGGTGAGAGATGATGGTGGCTTGGCCTGTAGTTTTAACATAGGAGGTGGTCAGATTCTGGGCATCTTTCAAATGCTTATGCTGAGTGAAAGAAGTCAGACAAAAAAAAAAAAAATACATAATGTATGATCCCATTTATATCAAATTCTAAAAACTACAAATCAATCTGGAGTAATGTTGGGGTCCTTTAATGGACCGGAACCTGGTGGTCCAGAGTCGACGATAAGAAAGTAAAAGAAGGCAAGAAGCTAATATTCCCTGGGTTATGCAGCCGGCCTTCGTGCTGCAGGGAATCAGCCAGAAATAGAGAGAGAGAGAGAGAAAGAAAGACACGGGGACCCAAGTCTCTGGTGGAGCAAGGGTGCTTTATTGAATTCTGTAAGAGTATACATACCGTATTACAAGGTAGCTTCTGCAGATAAAGATCAAAAGACCAGACTTTACAAGTTACCAAGGAAACAAGGAGCATAGAGGCCATAAGGCCAAAAGGCAATCCATATCAAAAGAGGGTCATAAATAATCCTTTTCACCAAGTGGAAAAGCTAATGAAGGAAACCCTATGCAAGCATCCCATCTCTAGGATTTCAGTCCTGGGAGTGGACTGATAAGGCAGAGGGCTCAAGAGAGATAGGAAACAGCACACAGGAATCCTACTGTTAAACATTTCCTGACAGAGTAATACAGGGTTTTTTGGAGATAGGCACGAGAGGGGAGGGAGGGATGGCAAAGGAGCATGAGGACTCTTCAGGGGGATGGATATGTTCATTGCCTTGATTGCGGTGGTAGTCTCATGAGTGTATACATGTCAAAACTTATCCAGTTGTAGAGTTTGTGTGCATGTGCATGCTAAGTTGCTTCAATCACATCGAACTCTTTGCAACTCCATGGACTATAGCTCACCAGGCTCCTCTGTCCATGGGATTCTCCAGGCAATAATACTGGAGTGGGTTGCCATGCCCTCCTCCAGGGATTCTTCCTGACCCAGGGATTGAACCAGAGTCTCTTATGTCTCTTGCATTGGCAGGCAGGTTCTTTACCACAAGTGCTACATGGCAAGCCCCAATTGTACACTTTACATATGTGCAATTTACTGTATGTCAATTATATCTCAAACAGATTTCCCTGGTGGCTCAGATGGCAAAGAATCTGCCTGCAATGCAGGAGACTGAGGTTCTATTGGTGGGTCAGGAAGATCTTCTGGAGAAGGGAATGGCAACCCAGTCCAGTATTCTTGCCTAGAGAATTCCATGGACAGGGGAGCCTGGCAGGTTACAGTCTGTGGGGTTGCAAAGAGTTGGACACAACTGAGTAAATCTCTGCCTATCTGTCTATACCTCAATAAAGTAATTTAAATAAAGGGTGCCCAGGATTATCTGATGGATTGGACTTGGGGTATGAGACAAAGAGGAGTCAGAATAGTTTGTAAGTTTTTGACTTGAACATCTGGAAAATAGAATTAAATGACCAGTTGTTGAGATAGGGAATATTGAAAGGAGCATGGCTTGAGAGAGAAAATAAGAAGTTTGGTTTTCAACATATTAAGTTGGGGATGCCTAATAGACAAACCTAAGATTCTAAAGCAAAGAAACACATAGTAGAAAAGAAATGAAGAACTCATGGCAATACTATTTCCACAGTCACCTAATCTGTTGTATATTCTCTCCCGACAGCATGGGAACGACACTGGACCAGTGGGACATCTCATGGTCCCTGTAGATAACTGTGAACACTTCTCCTCTTTTTCCTTATTCAACATTATGGTTTGCATAGATGGATGACATTCTTTCCTCTTGCTTTTAAGGAATCCAATCAGTTTGGGAAACTAATTAATGGGTTTGATTGGCATTTGGCCTTGGCAGAGACTATAGAGAGAAGCCCCTAGTCACAGACAAATGCAATGTCTTCATCTTGAAAATGAAGATAGTAACAAGTCCTACTATTGTTGTGAAGATTAAACAAATTGATACATATGAGGACTTTAGAATACCACCTGGACATAAAGAAAACACTCAATAAATGTAAGCCGCTATTAACTAGCTTTTCCTTCCTAACAACTTTTGCTCATTGTCGTTTTGATGTTAGTTTCCCCTAAATTGTGGGCTTCTTTAGACAAAGGCCTGATATCTTGTCTGTTGATCTACATGTTTGCCTTCACCACCCTAGTGTTTTGTCCAGTGTCTGGCCTAAAATGGTAGCATAAAATGGAATTTCAACATATTGGCATTGAATTAAATTATTCTCCCCTTATGGACAAGAGCTGCTCAGCTGGCTCAGACGGTAAAGAATCTACCTGCAATGTAGAAGACCCTGGTTCGATCCCTCAGCGGGGAAGACCCCCTGGAGAAGGGGATGGCTACCTATTCCAGCATTCTTCTCTTGACAGTATCCTTTTTGGACAGAGGAGGCTGGCGGGCTACATTCTATGGGGTCAAAGAGAGTCGGACACGACTGAGCTACTAACACTTTCAGTTTCTTATGGATAAAACCCCCAGAAGCTGAAGATCTCAGCATGGGGACCCATTGACCACCTCCACCCCCCAGGGCTAGGGGACGAGGGGTGCAGGAAAAGGCCAAGCAGGCCACCGGCTCTAATGTACACCACCGACCCATCATTCTGCTGACCTCTCCTTTCCTATAAGGAAACCACGGGATGGGGATGCCCCCCAAACTCCTGGGAGTCAAGAGGGAATCTCGAACTGGAGACCAGCAGTGGAAAATCGTGGGTGGGATTTGGTAGTTAGGAAAAGGAAGTACCAAACCAAGAAGGGGAGGTGAGGATGAGCCAGTTTGGGAAGGACCAGATATCGGAAGCTGCAAGAAAGGGGTCAAAGAAGACCCGCTGTTGGGATGGCGCGGAGTGGGGGATGCAAGGTGGAAGAGCAAAGTGAGCGAGGAACGGAGTCTCGCGGAGGGTCGACGACGCAGGGACCGAGGCAAAGGCACGCGATTGGACGAGGAGGAAGAGAGAGTCCCGGTTGCCAAGGCAGCCACCCGACAAGGAGGCCTCGGCAAGGAGGTGGGAGCGCGCGTCCTCCTCCTCCTCCGCGACCCCCGTGGTCCCCTGCCCGAGGCCGCGCTGACGTGTCCGCCGCGGACTCACAGGCCGGCGGGCGCCGCCCCTCCCGCCGCCGCGCGCCCCCGCCCCGCGCCCCGCCCCGCGCCCCGCCCGCCGGCGCCCGCCCCGGCCGCGTCCTCCGCGTCACCGGCTCCGCGAGGTGACCACAACATGGCTGCGGCGCCGGGGCTGCTCTTCTGGCTGCTCCTGCTCGGGCCGCCCTGGCGGGTGCCCGGCCAGCCGGAGCAGGACCCCGGCCGGCGCTTCTCTCAGCTCAAACTCTGCGCGGACGAAGAATGCAGCAGTAAGTGCCGGGAGGGCGGCGGCGCCGGCGCCGGGGCATCGCGGGGGCGGGAGCTCGGCCGCCCCGCTAGCCGACCCGGGGGGCGCAGGCCGGGAGGGCGGAGCGCCGGGTCGGGGGGAGGGCGACCTCCGGGTTCCGGCGTCTGTCCCCTCCGGCTCTCCGGGCGTCGGGGCCAGGCGGCCTCGGCGGTGGGGTCTCTGCCTCCCACTTGTTGCCAGCTTTTCATTTTTCCTTTGCGGATGGAGGCGGGGGATGGGGGGGGGTGTTCGGAGGTGGCCCCCCGGTTTCCCCGGGGGCCGCTCACAACGTCCCCTCCCCCGGCCCGCCCCGGCTCCGAGGGGAGATGGGGTTGCGCGTCGCGCGCCCCGGGCTCCGCACGCTGCCTGCGAGCGCTTTCCTGCCCCCGTCGCCGGGTCCGCGCTGGGTGCAGTCCGGGGGCGGATGCGCCAGGGACTCGGTGGGCGTCTTCCCTGCCGCAGGATGCTAGGGCTCGGAAAAGCCTCCCTGGCGCAGCCCCCTTCGCCCCTCTGCTTCAGTTAGATTCGGGGTTCGGACCGCCTTTTCTACAGGGATTGGAGTCGAGGTTTGGGACGAGCCCGGAGTCCAGGCATGCGGTGTGTTCCAAGGTCTCCTCCCCGGCTCTGCCTCAGTCCTGTCATTTCTGTGCTTGGAAGGCTCCCGCAAATAGCCCGGCAGGGAGGGCACCGGGAAGGCCAAAATGTGTCTCTCGAAAGAGGCCGAGACTGCATCGGCCACCTGGTACCAGTTGTCTCCAGTGCGCAGGAAGCGGAATTGTTCCCTGACCGCGAATTCGGGGAGGGCTGGGGGTAGTGAGAAGGGCAGAGATCCCCAGACTCAGATGAAGAAGATTGTTAAAGTGAAAATAATAAATACTCCAGGGGTTTTATAAATCCAGCCAGCTTGAGCTGGATGTCAATTACATTGTCAGTTACATTGTTGGGCTCTCTTCCTGTGTGTTTGCCTTGGCCCCCTATCGTCGTTGTGGTCTCAAATAACCTTGTAACTTACTGACAACCATTTCACACAAGGTTGTTCTTGTGTTGTAATCAGTGTATATAGAAAAGCGTTCCTTCTGAGGCCAAAGCCTACAGTCTAGCTATTTAGATTGAAATCAGTGTTATTCAAAAACAGATTTCACAATCGGAAGAACCGTAGCACTGCCACATCATTAGGGGAAAGAAAGGAGGCTGTCATGGATCTGTTTAAGCCATTCCTAGAGGTAACCCTAAGACTGATGTAAATAAACGCTACAAAAGTGGAGCAACTTCCATGAATTTCTCCTGCAGTTTTCTCAGAGTAAGTCCAGGTTATTAGCAAGCAGTGTTGGATATGGCCAGTGTTGGCTATGCTTTGCTTTCAAACACTATCCTGCCTGGGTACCTCAAAACGAGTCATCTGGAAAATTATAACATCCCTGATACTTGCTCAGTATGGAGACATGGTGTTAGAAGGGCCCTTGGGTGTCACATAACTGGAAAAATGGCGTGTGTCCAAACAAATGTAGTCAAAGGCAATAGCCAGCAGCTAGAGCAGGGTCTGGTCCCCTGTTGTGTTGCATAAAGTGTTTGTTTAGTAAGGTGTGTCCATGTTAGCTGTCCTGTGTGCTTTTCAGACAGCTGCCCCCCAGCGTGCATTGTGTCCTCATCTGATTTATTATTATCCCTCTGCAGTGATCTTCCTATTTCCGATTCTGATAGGATCCCCAGCCTATCAACTCAAGAATTGTCCATCACCTTCAACTTTGCCTCTCACTTAATCTGAATTAGGATGCCGATGTGTATTAAAATAATCAGCTTCAAAATCCAAATAACCCCCTTTAAATCCGTGTTTGTCCCTCAAATATGTATGTGAAGGTACATCTTAAGGTGCTTATTGCCAGTTGGCTCTTAGAACAAGTGTTATTTCCGTTTCATCCTTCCTTTTCTCTGCTATTTAATTGCATTTGTTGTCCATTTCATTTGACAACTGTGTATTTGTCAGAGAATACACAAATACACAAAGAAGCTGTGTATTTGGCCAACAAAAAGAAAAATACCACTTCTAACAATTTCTAGATTGAATATAGTTTAAAGTCCTGCATTTTAAGACTGAAGGTAACTACTGGACAGTTCTCATGGTTTTGCTTGCCCCTGCCATGTATGATTTTGCTTATAGAAACAAAACCTGTTTGCCCACTTTTGATTTTGTTTATAGAAATAAATAAACCTCCTTAATGTTGGATATATTCAATATTATATGCTTTCAGAAAATATTATCTTATGTGATTGGATCCATAATTGGGTATGATATCCTTTCCCATTGATTTATCCAGATACTCACAGAACAGCTTGACTGTAAGTGAAGTGGACGGTGTTTACTGTCGCACAGGAGCAGTTATAGCCACTTAAAGATGGGGCCTTTTAGTGGTTAGTTCAAGTTAATTGACCTCCTGGGGGTTCTTGGGTGCTCTCCCCAGTTACTTATTACCACTGCATGTAGTCATGCTTAACACTAGTTGCATGTGTGCTTGAATTTACCCAAATGCAAAATGAAGCTTTTTATAATTATGAAACAGCAAAGACTGAAAACTGGATGGTTAGAGAGGGAACCAAGAGTTTCACTTGAGACCAGCCATGTGTGGCAGTGGACGCATTGCTTTTTGTCTGCATTATCCATAGAGAAAAACGGGGCAAGTTTACCTCTCTCCTGGCTACTTGCAGGGGAATGTGCTAATGTATAACGACACAGCCCTATAGGTGCTCTGAGCATATGAGTTGAGGGTGGTTGGTTTCAGAGAGTACTGGAGAAGCTTGATTGTTATTTACAGTGGATTGTTATGTTTCCTGATAAATCAGTATTTGAAAGTTGAATCCTGATACCCGCTTTTCTTCCCTCCCTCTTTCTATACAGTGTTAATGTACCGGGGTGAAGCTCTAGAAGATTTTACAGGCCCGGATTGTCGTTTTGTGAATTTTAAAAAAGGTGACTCTGTGTATATCTACTATAAACTGGCAGGGGGATCGCCTGAAGTTTGGGCTGGAAGTGTAAGTAAAAATTTGACCTAATTTTCTGCCTTTTTATTGACTTGTTTAGCACTGTAGATTTAAGTAGCCACAGTTTCCGGGGGTCTTTGATGGAGTTAACTTGTCCCCTCTGCTTGACTGTGAAAGGGGCTCGTGTGTCCCCTGCTGGCTTCAGGCCTGGTGCAGAAGACGGTCTCCAGCAGAAGTGAACTGCTTCCAGCTGCTGCTCCTGAGTCAAGCTCTCGACCTTACCAGCCACGAGTGCTCCATACGTAGCAAATAAGGACGTGGTGTGCATATATATATACACACACACAGGATTCAGTTCAGTTCAGTCGATCAGTCATGTCCGACTCTGCAACTTCATGGACTGCAGCTCACCAGGCCTCCCTGTCCATCGCCAGCTCCCAGAGTTTACTCAAACTCATGCCCGCTGAGTTGCAATAGAGTATTATTCATTCATAAAAAGACTGCAGTCTTGCTATTTGCAACATGGGTGGATTGGAGGGTGTTGTGTTAGTGAAATACGGCAAAGACAAATACTATACGTTATCACTTATAAGTGGAAGCTAAAAAGTAAGACACATGAATATAACAAAACAGAAGCAGTCTCACAAATGCAGGAAACAAACTGGTAGTTACCGATAGTGAAACCTGAAACTTCACTTTGAAACTTCTTAACTTCATTGTTTCAAAAAGGAAGGATTCGTGAGCATCAGACTTAATCCTGTAAAATATGGGCAAAGTAGTGTTTTAGGCATTCCTATTAAGAGTTGATTTTTTAAAAGAATTATTTTCTAAACTGTTAACATACCTAATCATGTGCGCTGTTCCTGTTAAAAGAGCAAAATGTCATTTTTGCTGTGTGCTTTCCTGTTTGCTTGTTTTGCTTGCAACTGCCGGGGCATCCTTTTCCTGCTCTTTGGACACTTGCTCCCACAGGCTCTTCCCAGCAGGTCTTTTCCCAGTCAGCTCTGTGGGTGCGGGCATGGCAGACATGGAGATTCATGACTTTGTCACGCCTTGATATTTTTAATGAGGTGATTCACTGGAAGTGACCTGATTGGGAGGCTTTATGAGCTTTCCTTTCTATGTGATGTGTTGCCTGATTATTTATTGAAAGTGGGAAGAGTCCGGAATACCCTAAGGATCGTCCAAACTTACAGAAACACTCAGTCCCGAAGGTGAACATTTTCACTCTCTGTAAATCAAACAACAGAAAAGAAAGCTTAAGAATCCCCTGTCAGGAAAAACAGATTTATTTTGTTGGTGGTCCAGATTCCTAGGGAGGAGTCCAGTAAGACCAACTGGTCAGATACAATCTTTCCATTTAGGCAGAATCCCAGTTGAATGGCTGAAGAATCTGCCTGCAATGCAGGAGACCTGGGTTTGATCCCTGAGTCGGAAAGATCCCCTGGAGAAGGAAATGGCTACCCACTCTGGTGTTCTTGCCTGGAGAATTCTGTGGACAGAGGAGCCTGGCGGGCTGCAATCCACAGGGTCACACAACTGAGAGTCGTACACAACTGAGCAACTAACACACACACACACACACACACCGGTTGAATCACCGTATTCAGAAGAGAATCTGTTTTGTTCCTTTCAAGTCTATTGCATGAAATTTCTTGATAGTCTTTACTCTTGGAACATTTTTTTTCAAGCCCATACCGTTTTTGATAAAGTGGTGAAGTTGGAGCATTTGGATAAGTGAACTTGACTTTTCACCTCTAGTTCAGTTCAGTTTAGTTCAGTCGCTCAGTCGTGGCCGACTCTTTGCGACCCCATGAATCGCAGCACACCAGGCCTCCCTGTCCATCACCAACTCCCGGAGTTTACTCAAACTCATGCCCATCGAGTCGGTGATGCCATCCAGCCATCTCATCCTCTGTCGTCCCCTTCTCCTGCCCCCAATCTCTCCCAGCATCAGGGCCTTTTCCAATAAGTCAACTCTTCGCATGAGGTGGCCAAAGTATTGGAGTTTCAGTTTCAGCATCAGTCCTTCCAATGATTCTAGAGAGCCCGCCAGTCTTTCTGGTTCCTGACCGTGCCCCTGCCTTTGCAGGGAAGCCCTGCCCTCAGCTCTCAGCCAGAAGGGATCTTTGCTGTCTCACGATTGTTGAGGTGGTGCTTTGTTTGCACCGCTCGTGTGGCACTCCTTTTACTGCCTTGTATCGCAGTTAATGTGTACTCTTAGCTGCAGCAAAGTCAGAAACTCTACAATGGGGCATGTGTCTTACCCATTTTCCTTGTGAATATTTCCTTTCAGGGAGCAGCACTTGTTTCCATTTGTCCCAAGTGTAGCTTATGCAGAATTTGTTCTCTTGAAACAATATTCTTTTCCCAAATCAAATCAGCAGAGATGAGATATGGAAGCAAGATTAGATATAAAAGTTACCTTCAGTCATGAGGGCCTATGATTCTGCATCTTTTTGTCAGATCCTAAGAAACAGGACCCACTCGATGTAAAAATTTATGGAGTTTTTTACGACCTGTGGTCTCAGTTGACAAACATCACACCAAGATAAATGTATTTCCTTTTCACATAGCTCTGATTTCTTTCCCTTTTCTAGATTCTCTTAATAAACTGTTCCTGAGAAGAAAAAACTGTATTTTCTCTCAGCCTCCCCTCTCATTTCATGATTAGAAACTCTGTCTCTTGAGCTTTCAAGATGGTTCTTGCTTCTATTTCTTAGTTTTCATTCTGCAGTGTTTTGGGGGTTTTTTTGTTTTTTAGAATTTTATACTTTAACTGCCAGTGTAGCAATTTAGAATTGCACTGTCTTATCTAATCTTAAAGGCAGTGTTCTAGTAAAACTGGCTTTCACAGAGTTGCCAGATATAACAAAAGCTCTCATAATACGGATATTTTAGGAGTTAGTGATAAGATACCCTCTTTTTTTTTCTTTCTGTGCATTTGATCTGCATGTCAGTCTCCTCCTTTATTGGTTGGGAAGATCTGCTACTCCCGTTCAGACTATAGTTAGTAAAAGACAGTGTGGGTTTCTCAAGAGGACACACAATATATTGATAATAATACCTTTTAAGTCTCCTTGGTGGCTCAGTCAAGAGACCACCTGCAATGCAAGAGTCCTGGGTGGTTCAGTCCCTGGATCGGGAAGATCCCCTGGAGAAGGAAGTGGCAACCCACTCCAGTATTCTTGTTGGGAAAGCTGTTAGTGCTATAGATAAATGGGATTATCTTCTGTCTTTACTTGCATGAAACTAAGCTTGCTGTGTAGATTTGTATGAATTTTATTTTCTCCCAAAAACCTTGAAAATCTAGTTTGGAAAAAGCTAGTGCAGCCCATGGTATCAGTCAATATTTGCCTTTTGTTGTACTGGTCATGCATTTCAGAAATGGTTGGTTTTTTTTTTAACTTATTAATACATCTAAGACCTGGTTTATGAGTAATGCTGTGAAATGTGCAGATAAATTCTTGTTAGAGGGTATTTGAAATTCTTTCTACCCAACTTTTATTTACATAGTTTTAATTGCATAATATACACTAACTTTCTCTTGTATAGATCTTCTAGCTATTTCAGAAATCTCACTGTATGTGTCCTGTGTTTAGAATTAAGTTGAATATTGAAAGAAAATTTCAGTGGTTTTAGAAAATTTGTCCATACAACATTTTGTACTTAATTTATATTGGAATAATAATCTCTGTAATCATAATAGCAGCTATCTATCTCTTGTGGTTATATCTACCTATCTGTATGTTTCTTCTCACTACTTAGAAGTCTCTCGTTTATGTTTCTCATAAAGAATTTTGATTGATACTCATTTCTTCTGCTGTTTTTTAATGTAGGTTGGGCGCACTTTTGGATATTTTCCAAAGGATTTAATCCAGGTGGTCCATGAATATACTCAAGAAGAGCTGCAAATTCCAACAGATGTAAGTTGTGGATTCTGTTGTTGTTCTCAGTTATAAATTGACTTATAAATTCATCAATTACACTTAATTAACTAATTTTGAAAGTCTCTGAATGTGTTTTGATCAAAAAAGGGAAAACAAGTTAACATCTATGTGTGAGATTTTAATTTATCAGACTACCTTTAAAGAAAAGAGAAGTTTGAAAACAATTTATGGGAGACTTTGTATCACAATCCGATAGTTCTGTGTTGAAGCAGGTGTTCTTGTACAAGGCTGTGTATGCTTATTCAGGATTTTTATTTGCTACTTGATATGAGAAAAAAATAATTCAGTATCTTTGTATTTAGTTATTAAATTTAGGAAGTAAATACTTTTGTTTTTACTTTTTTTACTTCAAATTACTTGAAGTAATTTTTTTTTTTTACTTCAAGCAAGGTGAGAAGTTGTCTCAATACTCACTGAATAGCCTTTAGACATTTCGAGTATATAGAAATCAGGTTAAATTAATCAAACCCGAAATTATGTATTAGGCCATAAAGTTTTCTTTTGGACTCTAATGATTTAAGGGATTAGAGTTATGGGATGGATTCTGGAAAAGGGAACCTGAATGTTTCACACAAGATCCAGCCTCAGTTGAAATCTCAAATCTGCAGGTCTTGACTGCACAATCTGGAAAGCATTCATCCAGGGTGCACTAACTTAAGTAGCTTTGTAATGACAAGGATTTTGTGTTCTGGGATCCTCACTCCAGCTGATTATTTTCTGGAGTTTTAAAATTAATAAGAATTGAAACCCACCTTCAAACAGAAATCTTTGAGCAACTCTTTGGAGTCGCTGCGAGAGCATGCAGGCTGCTGGCCAGGGGCAGGTATCAGCCGAGCTCTGCTGAATAGATGAAGTCACAGAACCATTGCTATTTTTGAAACTTTTTGTTTTCCCAAGGGTCATGAAATCAGCCTGATTGCCTGTTAGTCCTTGCTCCTAATGAGGATACTGCTGGGAGGGAAATATACGTTAGACAGCAGCTCATGGGTCACAGAGACCTCATTTGTTAGGGATTCCGCCTTCTGATTGCACCTCTCACTCCATGCTTCCCTCAGCGTGAAGAAATGGCTTAGAAAGGCACGTGGGCTGCAATGATGTAAAGTAATTAGCCTCCAACTAATAAAAATAAATGGAAAAAAAAAAAAGAAAGGCACGTGGGGAGCAGAGGAATCATTCATTCCTGCCACACTTGTCAGGTCTCTCCAAGGACTGTGACAGTTTAGTTAGGAGAAGGAAATTATCTTTGTTGGTTTTTAAACTTTTCCCTCTGTTTAATGGAAAGACTAGAGATCTCTTGAGAGATACCAAGGGAACATTTCATGCAAAGATGGGCTCAATAAAGGACAGAAATGGTAGGGACCTAACGGAAGCAGAAGATATTAAGAAGAGGTGGCAAGAATACCCAGAAGAGCTGTACAAATAAGACCTTCATGACCCAGATAATCATGATGGTGTGATCATTCACCTAGAGCCAGACATCCTGGAATGTGACGTCAAATGGGCCTTAGGAGGCATCACTACGAGCAAAGCTAGTGGAGGTGATGGGATTCCAGTTGAGCTATTTCAAATCCTGAAAGATGATGCCATGAAAGTGCTGCACTCAATATGCCAGCAAATTTGGAAAACTCAGCAGTGGCCACAGGAATGGAAAAGGTCAGTTTTCATTCCAGTCCCAAAGAAAGGCAATGCCAAAGAATGCTCAAACTACCGCACAGTTGCACTCATCTCACATGCTAGTAAAGTAATGCTTAAAATTCTCTAAGCCAGGCTTCAGCAATATGTGAACTGTGAACTTCCAGATGTTCAAGCTGGTTTTAGAAAAGGCAGAGGAACCAGAGATCGAATTGCCAATATCCGCTGGATCATCAAAAAAGCAAGAGAGTTCCAGAAAAACATCTATTTCTACTTTGTTGACTATGCCAAAGCCTTCAACTGTGTGGATTACAGTAAACTGTGGAAAATTCTGGAAGAGATGGGAATACCAGACCACCTGACCTGCCTCTTGAGAAGCCTGTATGCAGGTGAGGAAGCAACGGTTAGAACTGGACATGGAACAACAGTCTGGTTCCAAATAGGAAAAGGAGTACGTCAAGGCTGTATATTGTCACCCTGCTTATTTAACTTCTATGCAGAGTACATCATGAGAAATGCTGGGCTGGAGGAAGCACAAGCTGGAATCAAGATTGCCGGGAGAAATATCAGTAACCTCAGATATGCAGATGATACCACCCTTATGGCAGAAAGTGAAGAAGCACTAAAGAGCCTCTTGATGAAAGTGAAAGAGGAGAGTGAAAAGTTGGCTTAAAGCTCAACATTGAGAAAACTAAGATCATGGCATCCGGTCCCATCACTTCACGGGAAATAGATGGGGAAACAGTGGCTGACTTTATTTTTGGGGGCTCCAAAATCACTGCAGATGGTGATTACAGCCATGAAATTAAAAGACACTTACTCCTTGGAAGGAAAGTTATGACCAACCTAGAGAGCATATTGAAAAGCAGAGACATTACTTTGTCAACAAAGGTCCGTCTAATCAAGGCTTTGGTTTTTACAGTAGTCATAGATGTGAGAGTTGGACTATAAAGAAAGCTGAGCACCGAAGAATTGATGCTTTTGAACTGTGGTGTTGGAGAAGACTCTCGAGAGTCCCTTGCACTGCAAGGAGATCCAACCAGTCCATCCTAAGGAAAATCAGTCCTGAATATTCATTGGAAGGACTGATGCTAAAGCTGAAACTCCCAATACTTTGGCCACCTGATACAAAGAGCTGACTCATTTGAAAAGGCCCTGATGCTGGGAAAGATTGAGGGCAGGAAGAGAAGGGGATGACAGAGGATGAGATGGTTGGATGGCATCACTGACTCAATGGACATGGGTTTGGGTGGACTCCAGGAGGTGGTGATGGACAGGGAGGCCTGGCGCGCTGCAGTTCATGGGATCGCAAAGAGTCAGACACGACTGAGCGACTGAACTGACTGACTGACTCTGTTTAATGACCCCTTTTATGTCAATTTGTTTACTAGCAGTGGTCAAAAAAAAAGTATTAGGTTTATGGGTAGTCCAAAAGCAGATCTCTTTGACACCTAATCAGAACCCTGATTTAGAGTAGAGTGTGTCCCTCACTGAATCTTGTCTTCAAGCTGTACTTGTGATGGTTAAGTGGGAGCCCCTGGACACCGTTCTTTGTCCCTCAATATTTTTACTGCCCCTGCACTTGTATTTCAGTAAGATGCTTCTTAAGCTGATTTAGCTTTCCCAGTCCAAGGAAAGTATAAGTCAGGAATCTGTTGTAGACCGAGAGCCTGTCAGCAAGGTGGTACTGCCTGTTTCCAGCTAGGGAAGCAGCAAGGTACAGCTTAGAGGGGAGGGTGATGGAGATGCTGGGTGGTCTTCCAGTTTCTTCTGGACAAACTGTTGTGGGGTAAATTCCCAGGGCATGAGGCATAGATGCTGGAAGGTGTGAGGACCAATAAATGATGCCCTACTTTTCCCTACTTGTACTCAGAACAAACTGAGAAACCCAGCAGGCAGGTGGTTGGAGACCAGGATGTCACCATCACTTACTGATAAAACTTCTTGGAGAACACAGCTCAAGTGTGCAGAAATTAATGGGCTTTTGAACATGGCAGTCTAGAACTAGACAGACTTACCCAGCCACAGGCAGAGCTAGCCAACTAGGGGGCTCTCCTAGTGGACTGTCCCTTATAAAACTGACAGCGTGGAAGAGAGAGGGTGTGTGTCCCCTCCAGCCAGGCCCAAGCAGAGACCAGGTGGTGCGCGACAAACCCACCAGCGACAGGAGTCACTGCTCCCCAGGGAGAAAGAGTGAAGGGAAGCCAGGAACGTTACTCGGGTAGGAGCCCTTCCTCACGGAAATAGGGAGCCAAGGGAAAGGTGGGGTCCATCCTTCTCTCTCCTGACTCCCCAGCGTTGGCACAAAAGCCCCTCCAGGGCCAAACATGAGTTTGCAATCGTCTCTGTCATCAGCGTGGGCAAGCACTTGTTCTTGTGACGCTCGGTTAGTGACACGCTAATGTTTTTCTTTGCCTTGCAGGAGACAGATTTCGTTTGTTTTGATGGGGGAAGAGATGATTTTGATAATTATAATGTCGAAGAACTTTTAGGGTTTTTGGAAGTGTACGATTCTGCCACTGAAGATTCTGAAGAAGTTAAAGAAAAAACTGCTCAGCATGTTGAAGAACCTCCTGAAGCATCTAATGAAAGTGACGCTGAACCTGAGCCAGGAGAACCCAACTCAGAGGAAAATGAAACTGTATTCTCAGAAAACACTGCTGAACTCAGGGAAAGATCTGAGGCTCAGAAGAGCCACCCCCAGTTAAACAGTCAAACAGGTCATGCTCAGGGAGAGCGAACTTCATTTGAATCTTTTGGAGAAATGCTGCAAGAAAAGTTAAAAGTGCCAGAAAATGAAAGCAACAAAACCAGCAATAGTTCTCACGTCTCGCGTGAGCAGGAGAAGATCGATGCTTATAAACTTTTGAAAACAGAAATGACTCTGGACTTGAAAACCAAATTTGGCTCAACTACCGATGCACTTGTATCTGATGATGAGACAACCAGACTTGTTACTTCGTTAGAGGACGATTTTGTTGAGGATTTGGATCCTGAGTATTACACAGTGGGAAAGGAAGAAGAGGAGAGTAAAGAAGACTCCGATGAGCTGCCGTTACTAACTTTTACAGATGGAGAAGATACAAAAACTCCAGGGCACTCTGGAATTGAGAAACACCCGATAGAGAAAGAGCAGAATTCACACGAAGAGCATAAAGTTGAGGAAACTCAGCCCCCAGGCATCAAAAAGGGTGACAAGAAGATACCAAAACCCCAGGAAGATATTATCTTCTCTGATGTTACAGAAGGGGAAGAAAACACAGACACAGATTTAGAGAGTCCCGATTCAAAGGAAGAGGATGACCCATTAGTCATGGATAGCAGATTGGGGAAACCACGACCAGAAGATCATATTGACCCTGAAAAGGCAGCAGACAGCCTTGTGAATGTAGAAGTCCCTAAAGCAGACAATGACAACGACCCAGAAGTGGGCGCAGAACTTCACATTAAAGGCAAGGGGAGGAAAGTTGAGGAACCCAAGAGGGACTTGGTGCATGAGGTAGGGCTAGAGGATGAGACGGAAGAAGACCAGACTGTGCACGGTTCTTCTCACAGTGGCCACCTCAGCTCTTCACCAGCTGCCGAGAAAAGTACAGAAACATTAAAATCAGCCTTTGCTAAGCAAGAGACTGTCCTGAAAGGAGCAGCCGTTCACATCTCAAAAGAAATGCTTTATGAAGAAAAGCCCACAGAGCGGAGTTTGGAAGGTGCCTCAGAGAGTGACTCAGTACCGCAAGCAGAAGCAGCAGGGAATCGAGGGGAGGAAGGAAAGACTGAGCAGGAATCCATGGGTGTGGCAGCGCCCTTGGGCAGTCATCAGCCTAATGCTTCCAAAGACAGCGTGGAGGAAGTAGACGCTTCAGTAAGTGGACCTAAACCACATGTGCTTTCCGGGGAGCATCTGAGCCCAGAACTTATAAAGGACCGGCTTCTTAAACTTCAAAATCATACTAGGTCCTCCTCTCCAGATGACACCGGCTTGTCGGGAGACCGGGAAGAAGAGGGTCCCGTTCTGGAAAGAAATCTTTCCTGGCAACAAGGAGATGTGGCTGCCGCAGTTCATAAACAAGTGAGCGAGAAGAGAAAGCTCTCTGAGGAAGAGGTCACCAGGGTCACCAAGGATGCCTCGGATGAAGGGCAGGAAGTAGGAAAAACAGGCCCAACCGATAGCACAGGAGGACGAGGCTTCCACCCAAAAGAACCAAACCCAGAAGATGACAATTACAGCCCTGAAGAACTCCTGGAGGATGAAAATGCTATAAGTGCGATGCAGTCTAAAGAAAAAAGCCTTGAGATTCAGGATAAGAGGTTAGATGTTGACCTGCAAAACCCTGAAAAACCTGTTTCAGGTGCCATTAAGACTGATCCAGAAACTGAAAAAAACAAAGAAGCAGCTAGTCATATATCGGAAAATGAAAGAAAAAATGAGACTGCAGGTGAAGGGGTAGACAGTCTGGGCAGGGACCCAGGTGGTCTGGTGGTGGAAAAAGAAGGAAGCTCTCCTCTGCATCAGGAGGCAGAGAGACCCTCTGAAGGAAGTGACTTTCCTGGCAAGAAAGAAATTCAGACTCCAGAGTCAGGTGAAGCGTCTCAGAAGAAAGATCCCGATTATCTTAAAGAAGACAACCATGAGGGCCACCCAGAGACCTCAGGGCTCACGGAGAAGCCTGGGGTAGAAGCCTCGAGAGAGGACGAGGAGGACGTAGAGAAATTCGTGGGCCCGGGAAGCCGGGGGTCTGCCTCCGGGGACCGTGATGACGACTCGTTCCCCTGGGCTCCACAGGGCCCCGTGCAGCCTGAGGCGAGTGTCCGTTCGGAGGACTTGCCCATACTCAGCAGCTTCTGTAAAGATCAGCAGTGTCTGCAGCGATTCCAGAAGTACTTTGACATCCACAAGCTGGAAGCCATGTTCCAGGACATGTCATCCAAGCTGAAGTCAGCCCAGCGCGAGAGCCTGCCCTATAACGTGGAGAAAGTCCTCGATAAGGTCTTTCGTGCTTGGGAGTCTCACATTCTGACGGAGGCAGAGAACATGCTGGATGCTCGTGTGACAGAAGACAGAGACCTGGAAACGAAGGACAGTAGCATCTTTGAGGAGGCGGCGGTGCTCGATGATGTTCAAGACCTGATCTATTTCGTCAGGTACAAACACTCCACGGTGGAGGAGACTGCTCCCCCGGCAGCGGCACAGCCTGTAGAGGGAGGCTGGGATGGACCGGCGGAAGGTGAGGTACCCACCTATGGCCTTGTAGGGTTGGGCTTGAGAAACAGGCGTGGGGGCCGGGGGGCTGCTGAAGTGCCTCGTGCCTGATTGAAGCTCTCTCCGCAGGTCCCAGCGTCCCCAGAGGGGAGGGGCAATACAGGGATGTCCACGTGGCCCTTCCCACCTTCTCTCTTGGAGGCTGGAGTAGAGATAAATATTCCTTGATCCACTTTTCACTTAGTTGAGACTGGTAGTGATAGCATCTTCTGCAGGAAACTTTATAAAAAGAAAAAGACTCGAGCAAGAAAATGGTATACAAAGCAGACCTGGTAACAGTACCAATTTCATGAAAGCGCTTTTTTGAACACATTTTCTTCATCATAAAATGACTACTATCTGTCCAGGGACGGACTGGCATTAACTTTTAACTCGATGCCTTGCCTGAGTTCTTGCCCTCTAACCTTCTTCTTCTTTTTCTTCTTCTTCTTTTTTTTTTTTTTTAAGAAAGTGTTTGATTTTGTTTTTTGGCTGCACCGAGCGACGTGCAAGATCTTAGTTCCCTGACCAGGGATCGAACCCAAGCTCCCTGCAGCAGAAATACAGAGTCTTAACTACTGGACTTCCAGTGTAGTCACGCCCCTGCCCAGCTTTCATCTTCAGTGGATGACATGTTCTTTCCTGCCCTATTAAGGCAGGAAACTTCGGTCAGTTAAATTCTACCAAACCCTTGAGTTCTTGCATTCAGATTCCTTTCCTGCCAAGGAATGGAACCAGGATGCAGAGCCTCCTGACATAGCCCTTGACATAGAAGCCATTCCGTAAATAGCGACTGGATCAGCCCTGAGCCAGCACCCTAGAAAAGTTGATTCCTAGCTCCGTGCTCTTTCCTCTGTCCCCGTGCTGCTGAGATGGAAGGTATACAGACTCCTAGGTATACTCTGAAGAGATTTGAAAGGCACCTCGCCGAGCTGCCTTTGCATGTTATGCCCTTCCCTGTGCCAGCTCTATGAAGCACGCCCGCTTCTGTGTGGAGGAGATCTGTTATTTCCTTGTGGAGTAGATGTTTCCTATTTCCGCTTGACTGGAATTCCTTTTTCCACATTTTTCTGTGTGGGCATATGTTGGTTTGCAGAGGGAAGTAAGGTTCATTGAAGTCCCTACAGGAAAGATATTTATGAAATGCTTTGGGATCAGGGTTTCTCCATAAATTTTATCATGTAGATTACCTATCTGTGATGTGAGAGAAAAGCAATTGAAACCCTTCTTTCCTTGCCCAGTTTTGCCCTGTGGGGCGCCAGCGCATGGAGGGCAGGGTGGGGGGCCACGGAGTTGTGTGCTGGGGGCGTGCTGGAGGTGGACTTGTCATTGAGCTTTGCCAGCCCAGGGTGTCCTTATCTCCTGTAGACACCCAGCCACCACTGGAGGAGAACTTCCCACAGGAGGACACGGAAGTTCCTCTGATGCAGATTCCCAAAGAGCCCGGCCATTTGGATCAACCCATGACCAGGGACATGGGTACCCCAGGAGTCACCCAGAAACCGAAAACTGAGGAAGATGGAGACCCAGGTAACACTTGCTAACTTTTCTTTACAAAGTAGAAGCCTGTTCTAGAGAAGACGTCCTAAGAGATTTATTGATAAAAGTAGGAAATGGAGGGAACCATAACACAGACATAAATGCATTTAAAAAGTAAGAAATCCTGGAACTAGCAGAGAAAAGCAGGAGTCAAAACGGATGGAGATGAGTAATAGCAAGCAAGTCAGAGACCGTAACTGATCTACCAACCAGTGCTTGGCGGGCATTAGCTTATGCGAGTAATGGAAATCTAAAATACTGTTCTTAAAAAGTCTTATGCTCAAAAACAGCAGTTTTCAGACAGACCAGCAGTGGGGAAGCTCTGGGGGTGGAGACCAGCGGTCTTGTTTAACAATCCCTCCAGGGGATTCTGACCTGTTAGAAGTTCAGGTTTGAGAACTACTGCTCTGTGTCTCAAATTCTGGCTCCCACTGTTCCCTGCTCCACTTGCTCCCCACGGAGTACAAGGTGGCTCAGGCCTTTTGTTAACATGCTACCTAGTCATGGTGAAACTTCTTTTAAAACAGTGAAGAGGATATTTACATCTAGATGTCCTTATACTATAAGATTAGAGGAAACAGTGCAGAACTTTGCAGGATGTAACAGTCCAATGTGGACAGAACCTTGGGAATAGTATGACTACATAATCACAGAGCACAGTAAACATCCAGTGGGAGAGTGACAAATTTCATTTGGATTGAGAAAGTTGTTTTCAAAATAAAGGTTTTTTTTTTTAATTCGTTTATTTTTAATTGGAGGATAATTACACTGTTGTGTTGGTTTCTGCCATACATCAATATGAATCAGCCATAGGTATACAAATGTCCCCTCCCTCCCACCTCCCACCCAAAATAAGGTTTTTAAAAATGCAACCCCAGTAATAGTATCAACAACGTTCTAATTTTTGTGTAGCTCACTCATTTTACTGATAAATCAGAACAGCCGATTGTTTTATTTTGTCTACCCAGTATTGTGATACAACATCATTATCATTTTGTGTTTTTAGAGGTTGTGGTCTCTTAACCATAGGTAGAGTCTTACCCTATGATACCACAGGCCTAGCGGCACTGGGCTGCCTCCCTGACCACCTCAGCCCTTCAGAATATAGGAGAGGTCACAGCAGGAAGAGGAATTCAGCTAATTTGAGAAGAAATGGCATATCAGAGGTCTCTTGTGTTCCAGTGGATATTGCGTTCATATACAATACTCTGTACTTCTAAACTCTTATAACTCAAAAATGTTCTCTTGTTGAGAAGAAGTCACATACCAATAAACTTGATACCTTCTTGCTCGAAAACTTTCAGAGTTAGGAAAGATTTGGCTTGCAGAATTAAAACCAGATGTCTTGCCTCATTCTTGTAAGTTGCATCACAAAGTGACACAGCTTCCTTTAGAACTGAACTGTGAAAGTGAAGTATTAGTTGCTCATTCGTGTCTGGCTCTTTGCGAGCCCATGGACTGTAGCCCACCAGGCTCCTCTGTCCATGGGATTCTCCAGGCAAGAATACTGGAGTGGGTCGCCATGCCATTCTTTAGAAGATGATCTTCCCAAATCTCCCTTCATGCATCTCAGATGAGGTGCTGACCTGGTTGGGAAAACTTCACCAGTGGTCAGATTCATAGGTCAGTAGCAGTGGAATCTTAGGGTTGGAAGACATCTGCGTGGCAGCTAATCCTACTCATTAGTTACTTCTTGGACTCCTAGCTGTTTGTAAGAAACACCCCAGACCCCCAAAACTCCTGAAATTCCTTCCCTATCACCATCTCATGTAGAGATCCTTCCAGGGAGAGGTAGAATTCGACCTCTTCTGCAGAGCTACGCCAGGCCCCTGCCTGTGAGCAGGTCCTCTCCGTCTCGGCGTTTGCTGTCCTCCCTCGTGTAGCTGTCATCCATGGGTTCACTGCCTCCCAGGTGCCAGATGCTGCGCTGAGCATGGGTGCAAGTCTGCAAACTGACACTCTTCTCTTTCTCATTGTTTGCCTGAAGTTTCTAATACAGTGCGTCACCAGCACTAAATAAATGTTTGTTAAATGTGATAGTATGTCTATAGGAAAAGCATAAAATTCTGTGTTCCTCAATCCCTGTGAATCTGTATTATTCAGACAGCAGTTGCATTGACGGGGATGTGATGGAGGAATTGCTGGCAGGTAGATTGGGTCGGAGATAGTGTTCATTTTATAATTGAAGATGTGATAGCTCTAATGGGGGTTCTGACATTTTTTTAAAACATATAATTATCTTCAGGAGAAGCACATATCCAGGCAGAGAGACTAATATTCAATGGGCACTTGATAAATATTTAAAATGAAGAGAAACAAAACTTATCCTGAAGTTTAAATAAAATATTTGCTTTCTCTTTCAACTTTAGGGATAATTACACCAGAAGGCACTCCTGTCGATGCTGTTGATGCCCCAAAGCAGCTGGCAACAAATACTGAAGAACCAGCAAGTGTCACGCCCCTGGAAAATGCAGTTGTTTTCATATACTCACTCATGTTTCATTTAACTAAGATGGTAAGTTTGACATGTAATTTCTTCAAATAGAATGTTAATTATTACAGTTTTCAAGTTGATTTTAAGCGTGAGGTGAAGAATTTAAAATGTCTTTATGAAAATTACTCCTGTACCTTTGTAGCAGCCTCTGAAATAAGCCACAGGTGTGTGATGGTGGTGGGTTCCTAGTTCAGTTCAGCACTTGGAGATAACATTGGCGGCCAGTGCCGGGCACCGGCACACCTGTTCTTCCCTCAGGGATCTTTCAGTCTAACAGGGAGAGAATGAAATTCACTTGAGACACAACCTGATGTGGGAAAGAAGAGACGTGTTTATTTACCTGATGGTGTGACAGTATGTCAAATAAATTGATTCACTGAGGTGTGGGGATGGGCAAAGGAAGTCAGAAGTTAGCTGAGATATCTTCTGAGCAGAGTTGTAGGATCCGTGTGAGTTTGATGTGTAATTTGTTGTTGGATAGGCTTGGGGAGGTGGATGGGTGGAGTGCACAGTCACACAGTAGTAGTATGTTTGGAGAAATGGGACATGAAGAAAAGGTTACTTGGCGTTGTCCAAGTATAGAGCTCGAGGGGCGTGTGTGGTCTTGTGGAGGGAGATGGGCACAGGTGCAGGAGGTTGTATGTCACAGTAGGTTGTGTTAGAGATCCGTTGAAGGTTTTAAGCAGGAAATAAGTATGGTCATATTTGTTCTTAGAAACAGTCACTTATGGCAGAATTATTTATTCAAATTTATCTGTCTAAGGAATTCTGATCCACATGAGACCTTCAGTCTGTCCGTTGAAAGTTATCTAAGCTTTTTAGGGCCTAGCGCCCCCTTGTGGTATTTTCTGGAATTGGACATTCTTCTTGGTAAATGATGGAAATGAGTGCGCTTTCAGAATTCAGAGGCCAAGTTACGCTTGGAGCTATAAAGTATACTCTGCATCAAAAATATCTATCCTCCAGGTTCGGTTATTTCAAGACTTTTTAAGGAAAAGGTTTTTTTTTTTTGTTCTGTTATACGCATGGGCTTTGAGTGAGGATAATCTGGTTTCAAATCCCAGGTTCGTCGTTTAGAAACTTGGACAGGTTACTTAAGTTTGAATCTCAGCTTTTTCATCTATAAAATGCAAATAATACCTACCCCAGTTGTAAGAATTAAATGAATCAATAATAAGTATATAGTGTAGTGCCTGGCATTTTATAAGATCTCATCCCCTGCCTGCTTCTTTGGATGATCAGAGAGGGCAGTATAAAAACGTTGGATACTGCAGGGAATTCAGGAGAAAGGCTGCGAGGGTGGGAAAGTTGGAGGAAAACCAAACCGTTTTTCAGCTTTCTGCATGTTTGTGGTAGTGGTAGCCACCCCAGTGAATGTGTATGCCCTGTGCAGTTAGAATTCTGAAGGAAATTTTCAGTGATGAAGGCGATCTCAGAATTAGAATTTGGTTATCAGCATGAATCATCATCACTTCTAAAACTTAACAGCCTCCAGATGTGGGAGGAGTTCATTTTATTCATGGGCCCTGTTCTAGGACTGGGATGGAGGACACAGATGTGGTAGAGGATATTGTTTCTGCTTGAGGGATAACAGGAGAAGACACAGACATGAGTGGCAAGAGAAAAGGGTGCGTATTACAGAGTAACAGTGACTTGAAAGGTATCGTCAAGAAAGTATTTGGATGGCCCAATATGTACAGAGTATTATGCTAGGCATAGAAAAGTCTAAGAGGTATAAAGCATAATTCTGATTTATGAAAGGCTTAAAAAAGGATATTTCAAATATATATGGAAATTGGAAAAATGAGAAACATGAAATAGCTGTTGTAAAGTATCAGATAAGTGGTATAGATAACTCTTTGTAGAGCTGGGAAATAATGGGGTCCTGACTTGTTTGGGAAAACTGCACTAGAAGTCAGATGCATAGATCAGCAGTTGATGGAATATCCAGGCTAGAGGAGATCTGAGAGAGCAACTAATTCAACTTTTCACAAACTGCACTAATTTCCTCTACTCCAGCCCTGACTAGTAGTTATGGGGTCTGGGCATCAACAGTTCCTAATGTGAGTCATCTGTCTTATAAGACCACACATTGCTCTGTTGGCTAGTTTATTCTTATATTGACTCCAAATTTTTCTCCAGATGATTTTTTTCTCTTAGAATCAAATTCCTTTTTTACATAGTAATCATTTAAGTATTTGAAGTTATGCTTTCATTTTTTTTTTTTTTTTTTTAGTGTTTTAGCATGGAAAATTTCAAAATGGTAATAGTAAAGAGAGAATAGTAAAATGAAATTACGGGCCCATCACTCAACTTAACAGTAATTCCTTAATAACACCCATTTTTTGACACATTTCAGAATCCCCTCCCTTCCTTTTAAAATTGTTTTTACTCAGTTCAGGATCTTGAGATCCAAAAGTTTAAGGGGTTCATAATGTCTTAAATCAACCTTTTAATCAGATGTAAATTACATATAACAAAGTGTACCCATTCTAGGAATGAATTTTAACAAATGTAAACACTCATGTAAAAGCAACCATAACCAAATATGGAACATTTCTTTTGTTTGAAAAAGTTCCCTTGCATACCTTCTCAGTGTATCTTTCCCAAACCACCTGTTCTAGGCAACCATTGACAAAACTTTTTCTCACTGTACATTAGCTTTTCCTGTTGTAGAATTATAGTTATAAATGGATTTATAGTTAGGTGTGAAACTGCCCAGCCTCATGGTAAGTTTATTTTATCTTGGAAACTGCCCAACTGCTCTCAAAAGTGACTGTACCATTTTATATTTCCACTAAAAATTTCTAAAACTTCCATTTGGTCACATATTTGCTAACGTCTGGTATTGTCAGCCTTAAAGTGTAGCCATTCTAGTGGGCATGCCTTTGAGGTTTTAATTATATTTCCTGATGCTTAATGAGGTTGAGCACTTTTTCATGTGGCCATCCTTTTTCATGGGCTTATGTGTGAAATAGCTCTTTAAATCTTTTGTCCTTCTTTAAACTGGCATTTGGTTTTTTTCTAAATATTAAAGTCTAAGAGTTCTTTGTATTCATATAATTTAGATACAGCTCCTTTGTCAGATACATATTGCAAATCATTTCTTTCAGACTCTGGCTTGGCCTTTCAATTTCTTAGCGTTGTCTTTTGAAGAGCAAATTTTTAACTTTGATGAGCACCATTTTATTAATGTTCACTTTTATGGTAAGTGCCTTTTGTCTCCTGCCTAAGGAATCATAGGCAATTCCAATGATGTGAATATTTTCATATTTTCCTCTGGAAGTTTTATTGTTACACCCTTTCATGATTAAGACTTTGTTCCATTTTGAGTAAAGTTTTGTGAATGTTGTGAGGTAGAGATCAGGTTTCATTTTTTCCCCCCAAATGGATATCCATTTGCTCCCAGACCATTTCTTTCCCCTTTAAATTACATTGGCACCTTGAGTTGAGACCAGTTGACCACATATATATGTCTCTTTCTGGACTCTATTCTGTTCTATTGATCCTATCCTAAGACAATACCACACTGTTTTGACTACTATAGCTTTATAGTAGGTTTTGCAATCAGGTAGTTCCTTTGTGAAATTGTTTTGGTCACTGCATTTCCTTTGCATTTCCATATAAAGTTTAGAATCAGCTTACAACTTTCTACAAAAACTCATGCTGAGTGTTTGACTGTTCTTATACTGAATGCATAGATGAATTTGGGAAGAACTGGTATCAACAAATATTAAGGCTTCTAATTAAGATGAACTGAGTTCATCTCTGCATTCATTTAGATCTCTATAATTTCTCTCCACAGGGCTTTGTACTTTTCAGTGTACAAGTTTCATGCATATTTCGTTTATGTATGCCAGATATTTCATGGTTCTTGATGTTCTAAATGGTATTTTTTTACATTTTTTTCACAATTTTTTGCTGATGTTTAGAAATACAGTTGAATTTTTTGTACTGACCTTGTATCTTATCAAATTTACTTATTATCTTTCTAAATAATCTATTATTTCTAAGGGGGGGGTGTAGATTTCATACGATTCTCTGTGTAGATGACCATGGCATCTATGAATAAACACCTTCTTAAAAAGTCAGATTAATTAAAGCATAATTTACATCTAGTAAAATTCAACCTTTCTGTATGCAGTTCTGTGTTTTCACATTTTTTTCAAAAATTTTTGTGTTCACCCTTCTGCCTCTCTTTCTAGTACTCTAACTGTATTTATGTTAGCTCATTTTATGTAGTTCCGCGGGTCACTGAGGCTCTGTTCTTTGTTGTTGTTACTAGTCTTGTTACATCTTAGCTTCAATTTAAGTACTTCCTCTTGCTGTCTTTAAGTTTATTTATCTTTAAGTTGATCTTTTTTGGTATCTTATCTGCTCTTAAGCCATCAAGTGAAATTTTCATTTTGGCTATTTTATTTTTTAGCTCTAAAAGTTCCACTTAGTTTTATTTTATATCTTCCATTTCTCTCCTCACTGTGGTCATTAAAAAAAATTCTTCAATATATTTTTAAATGATTCTTTTAAAGCCCCTTAAAGCTAACATTCTGTCATCTCTTGCAATTTCTTGGTCTATTTTTGTAGGTTGACTTATCTTATGGGATACATTTTTCTGCTTTTTTTTCACGTCTAGAGGTTTTGTGTTTGGGTTTTTTTGGTTTGATTTTTTTTGTTTCTTTTTTAATACTAGGCACTGGGAATGTAATGTTGGGTGCCTGGATTTTGGTGGCTTCCTTTAAAGAAGTGTTGAAGTTTGTTTTTCTAATTGTTAAGTTACTTGAAGATCAGCTTGATCCTTTCTAGTCTTATTTTTAAGATTTGTTTTGAGATATAGTGTGTATAGTAGTATTTACTCCAGGGCTTGTGTTTCCCTACTACAATGATGTTATTCTTTTGGAATCTACTAAATGCCCTGAGCATTCATTAAGGTCAGTTCATGCTGACTAGCTGGAATACAGATGTCTCCCAGCCCTGCATTAACTGGAAATTGTTCAGCTTCCAGCCTCCTTGCAAGTTGTTCT